TGCTTTGCCGTTGCTAACTCCCAGTAAGGGTGCTAATTGACCCACATAGCAAAATTGGTATGGCCCGGATCTGGCCCAGACAATGTGCTTACACGTGGCCCACATACCTAATGACGGCCCTTTGGTGACCCAGGTCTGGTTTGCCAGATGTGGCCCACACCTGCACCAGCACAATGCCAGTTGCAGACACAGTGGTGGTCCTGTGCTGGCCCATGTGTGGACTACCAAATCAAAAAATAGAAGAACTAAGAGTGTTTGGTGTGTTTGGTCTGTGCTGTCACACTGACCTTGGTCCTGTGAAAGTCTCTGTGTTTTAGTCCCATTTTCACCTTGAAACAGTCCCTCACAGGAAAATCCAGGAACAGGCAGCAAAAACATGTTTTTGAAATTCCTGTTTGTCTGCAGCAGATCACAGCACACCTGTGATCACCTGACATGTCTGCTCACACACCATTTTATTTTACAGCTGGAAACTTTTATTTACTTTTATTAACGCTCCGAGTGCGTCACTAGTAGGCGCTGTGCTCCACCTTCCACATAAAAGCCACAGCAGTACACCGGAAAGCAGCTGCAGCTCTCTGAGTTCCTCATTAAAACTTCCCCCTGCAGCGCGCAGCACCTGCGCCATCCTCAGGTGTGCTCCCCGTGATTAATAAAAACAGAACCCTCCTGAGGGGCTGCAGGCTGCCGCTTTGTCCCCACTCACGCTGCACTGTTATGTAACGACTCCCACGCTTCATCCCCAAAACTAAAAATGAGAGCCCCATGCCAGCCCCGCGGTAGCATCGTTTACTACCACGCGGGTTGTTTGTTTATGTGTGCACACCGGCTTCTTCTTAAATTCGTCCACAAACTGGACAAAACGCAGAAATCACATCTCTCTGCCTGGATCCACGTGAGTTCACCAAAACTGTTTTTCTACTTCTAACCCGTGATTGGCTCCCCTTGTCTGTCAAACCCTGACATTCCTCGCGTTCACTGGCTTGCTACACATGTCAATCAAAATACGACCATTCGATTGGACCGAATCAGCTTTAAAGCCCTTCCTCACTTGTTCTTCTCAACGATAGGCTCCCTGGCAACCCAATAGTAGTCTCTGAATCCTCCTATTGGCCCAATATTTAGTCAATCACACATCCCTGTGCTGTGATTGGCTTCTCTAGCAGACGTGGGCGGTAGCTCTGCCCAAAAGAAGCGTTTCCTTGTGCTGTCATATGCGACGTAAAAGGGAAGGACCTACAGTTCAAGCGGATACAGAAAGTTGACATAAATAAGGAAATTTAGAGCAAATATATATTTGATTAGTTTGAATTATAAATGATATCTTTACGTCACACCGCCCAGCTATCTTGATGCGGACGCTGGAGGCGGTAATCTGTCTGTTTGTTTAGCTAGCTGCTATCGAGCCTCCTGCTCTTCAAACACACCGCCTGCGGGGCGATGAGTACGGATCTGTTGTCGGATTTGGACAGCCGCTTCTTCGCGGATAACCTGCTGACGAGCGAAGACTGGGGTGAGGCAGCATTTTGAAGCATTAAGGTTGAAGCTGAAGCATTCAGAGGAGGCTGACTTGATAGCGGGGGTGTGGATGCATCGAGAAGGCGAGGCGACGCGAACGGGGTCGTCGGAGCGTCTTCAGCGCTCATTGTTCCCACCGTGACATCTGTGTTCACGACCAAACTGGTCAAATATATTCGTATATGATGATTTTCGGGTTGTGTTAGAGCGCACGCGACTGCAGGGTTGTACTGTGCACGCGCTTCCTCCTTCAGCCTGCTCACCCGGACGCGCCGGTGTGTGTTCAACACGTTGGCTGGAAACGTGAGCTCGCTTTAATTTAACCGCACACGTCGCCCTCTGCGTGTTGTTCCCCCATTTTCCGCTAAAACCCCGCATTAAACCGCGTACTGTTGACATGTTTCAGGGCAAAGCTCGAGCCGCGGTCAGGGGGAGGAAGAGGGCTGTCACGGCTG